CCCCCCCCCCCCTTTGCTGCTCCGGCGGGCCCGTCGTTTTTTGCTTGGGGTGGCAAAAAAGCCAGAGCCGCCCCTGTCTGCATCTTTGTGGTATTAAGATGCCCAGAACAGAATGTGGTAATTCAGGCACAGTCTTGCTTCCCTCTCTCACTTAGGCACGTGGAAGCACTTGTGCTTACTTTTAAGCATGCACATAATAGTAGTCCCATTTACTTCAATGCTTAAAGTTAAGCATAGGCATAAGTTTTTGTAGGATCTAGACCATAGTGTGTAAATGGAATTGCTGTGTCCCTGCTCCATGATGTGATGCCGCTTCGTATGCAGTCCAAAATTGCATTACTATTGTTTGTTGCCAGATCATACACTGCACATTCATCTCTAACTTGCTGTCCTTGATTTTTAGTGTTACTGTTTTCCAAGTATCTGTTTTCAAATGAAATATCACTTGATTTACTCTCTTCATACCTAGTAGGTTGTATTTTTCTAATCTAATTCTTGTATTTTCTGCTCATAATTTTGATTGCTCTGACTTCGCAAGTATTTACAAATCCTCACAGTTTAGTTATCAATACATTTACTCAAGATGCTGACTTTATTGCAATTTAAATAAAAATAAAAGATGGCTGTGAAATGTGCTAGGCCCCCTAACACACAACTTAATATTACAAAAAAGCCCAGCAGTATTAAAATAATCATTACAACAAGAACACTGCTAGCTAGTCATCCACAAACACTCTTTCCCCATCTTTTTTTGTTCTGTCCTCTCCAAAAATCCAGTCAAACAGATGACTTTTGCAGGATGGTTGAATTCAGTCTGTGTTTGATTTCCTGTCTTCTTAAAATAAAGCCAACCAGGAGCTTTTATCAAATGCGTAGCATTTTGACTTCACAATCTTTCTAGAATATCTATGTCTTGTCTGAATTCTCTAGCCTTGCTTTAGCTCATGTAGAGTAAATAGCAGAAGCTGCTTTTTTGTCTAGAACTTCTAATTAAGTGTTTTTTCTCATGTGACGGGTAAAACAATTAGTCTGAAAAAATTCTAGTGATACTATTGGAGTTTATTTTTCAACTTAGTAACCCTGCATTGAAAGAAATAAATTGCTTAATATTTGTATTTCTTAGGGGAAGAAAATAATTTGTCTATTTTGAAAGAAGTTTGGATGTTTAAAATGTCATAATAATTTTTAGTAATTAAATACTAATCAGAATGGGCACATTTTACACACACGTTCTCCTAATCTGGAGTCATGACTGATGGGTTAACTGCACCCACAGAGCCACCAAAGCAACTGATGACTCTGGTTTTTGGTATCTTCACTCATCCCCTTATATAATCTTGGAAAGTGCATCACAGCCCCAGCTGAAACTCTTCCAATGCTTCAAACCATAAATGACCATAAACATATAAAAACTGTAGACAAGAATGGGCAAAATCCCAGATTAAAACATCTTCTGTTAAGTTTAAATTGCCTGTTCTCGTACACAACTACTCTTCCAGTCTGGACTCATGACTGATGGGGAATAGCAAGCGGTTCACTCAAAATGAGTGGAAGGGGTCAGAGCAGAATGAAGAGAATAGTCCACTACAAGTGAAGAGTGAGGATGAGTTTCCAATGGTTTTGTTACCAGCCCTGTACTGCATGTTTACATGAGGATCAATATCAGAAAACTGCGTCAGACTTCCTCGTAAAGATGTGGAATTCATTCTCCTGATCAAATAGAGGAGCTGTTTTCCAAATTGGATCTTAAAAATTGGTATTCACATGGACGTAGATCCAAAATACAGAGCGCTTTTACAGCAGAACAAGGAGTGCAGCAATTTAAAGTAATATCTAAATGGTTTGACGAGGATACGACATGATGTGCCTAACTCAGCCTGTTAGTTATAGCTGGATGGTATCCTGAGACATGCTTCAATTCCTATCTAAACAATTTACTGTTAAGTTTACAAACTATCTGTTTTAAATTCAGCATACCAATTTAAAATTGAATCCAAAGACGTTTTAGCTGTTTTTTTGTAAAGCACTTTCAGATCTAGGGATAGGTATTGTACTATAGTGTTATGAACTTCTTTGATAATCTGGATAGGCAATAAAAGCAGGTTTCCACCACCATTCAGGGACTGCTCATTGATAGCTGCCAGTACCATTCAAGCAGAAGCAGCCAATATAAGTAGGCTTCCACCACGCAAACCCCCCGCCTGTGCAAAACCTGCCATTGTGCTGGAAAAGAATAAATTCCCTGAGTTAAGGAATAGTTCAAAGCATGATCACTATTTGGGAGACTTGAAGGAAGCATTTGTACCTCTGTTATTCTTGAAGCATGAACAGTTGGCATTGACAGGCTTTGTAGACACCTATGTTGATGTCACCTAAACCTCAGCACTGACGTCACTCAGAATTGAGAGTTGGAGAATATTCCTCCTCTGCATCAAGCTTCAATGTCAACAAGTGGTGAGATATTCTGTAGCTGTTCCTGGAGCAATACAATCTCTCCATTGCTCTGCCACCAAGACCTTCTGATGCATGACGACCTCCACAGATGGTGTCAGTGGTCTCGCGCTCCATTAGGCTTCATTTGAGGACTAAGGGGTATATTTATACTGCAATCAGAGGTGTGATTGCAGCATGTGTAGACATACCTGAGCTAGGTTCAATCTAGTTAGCTTGGTACTAATAGTGAAGCTGCAGCAGCACGAGCTGCAGAATGGGCTAGCCAACTTGAGTACAAGCCTGCCAGAGAGCCCGGCTGTGTACTTGGGTGGCTAGCCCATGCAGCCATGGCTTCACTGCTGTTGGTATTCAAACGGTCTTGGGTATGTTTGTATGAGCTGCAGTCACATCTCCAAGTGCAATATAAAAATACCCAAAATGTTCTCAGACGTTAGTCTGTTATCTGGCATGTAGACAGTACTTTCAAAGGATTATTAATGGAGGATTAGATCTTTTAAACAATCTGTTCAGGCAGCCTTTGATGTTGCAGTTCCTTGGAGCCATTTGCTGCTATCATTAACCATTCTTGTATAAGAATTTCAACGTCATCCCTGAATTTCAGGGTAAAATGTTTTACCAGCTTTTTTGAAGGTAGTCTCTCTTCATTGGAAATGTTGAGGATATCTTGATCAAGACCAGAATAACAGTGAGGATTTTGGGGCAGCATGCCACTT